CCACTGGGGCTGCTGTTCCCTCTTGGGTGGCTCCTGGCAGCATGGACAGCACATGGCCCTTGGTGGGTCTGAGAGTGACTCGGCTGTGACAGGCCTGGCAGAAGCTGTGGCCACAGGAGGTGCTCCCAGGGGCCCTTGTCTCCAGGCAGATGCTGTAAGTCCCCTCTGCCAGGAGGGTCCAGTTGTGGGCCTGAGGTCATGCCTGTCCCACAAGGTAGGTGAGGAAGGGGAACAAAGGAACAGAAGAGGAGAGACTCAGGGTGGAGGTGACCACACCTGCACTGGTCTTGCTGTAAAAACCTCCTCCCTGCCCCGCACACTCTCACCCTCTCCAGTCTCTGCTCCCTAAGGCGCCTCACTCCTTTCTCAACATGGACCCTCACCTGCCTTCTCTGCTCCCCACACCCGGCAGGGAGGGCTCACAGGGCCTGGCATCACCTCCACTTTCTCTCCCACCTTTCCCTGCAGCCAGGAGAGCAGACAGGGGCTGAGTGTCCACGATGTGCCAGGCCCTGAGCTGAGACTCACAGGCATCAGCTCCCCATCCTCACCAGGTCCCTAACCCCACCACACACAGGTGAGGAAACTGAGGCTCTGGGGGGGAGTCCCTGTGTGGGTCCCACCCGCGTGCTGGGGGGACGGGCTGGAGTCCAGGCCCAGGGAGAGGCCCACGCCCCTCAGCACCTGCTGCAGCAGCTCCAGCTCCTGTGCATGCCAGCCCTGGACCTGCCCGCACCCAACACCCAGGACCCTTACCCTGTCTCCTCAGGGTGACTCACCTCCCTGTCACCTCCTGCTCCCCCTGGGGCTCAGGTCACCTCTCACCTTCTCAGGGAGGAGGCCCAACTCCTCCCAGGTCAGGGTCCCCTTGCTCTTTGCTCCCCGGGTCTGTCTCCAGCTGGACCCTGAGTTACAGACACACAGAGTCCCTGGACTGCTCACTCTGTGCCCCAGTGCCTGGAGGGTGGCACCCCAAATACAGGTTATTTGAGTTAAGAAATTAATTAACAAAAAGCAGCTCAGAGGACTCTTGTTTCTGGTAATAACTGGTTTGGACATTTCCATCAAACACATACTGAAAACAATGTCTGTTGGTGGCATTTACCCTCTTCAAGAACAAAGATTTCAGGTATTTCAAGAGCTATTATGTGAAGATTTACATTTACTCTGTTTGAACACAGAGGTCAGAACCTGGTCATGTCTGCAGCAGTCTCGGGCCCAGCCTCTGTCATCACCTCCTCTCTCCCCTCGTCTCCCTCCATCACAAGAGCAACATCAGGAGGAATTTTTAAATTCAACTTAATCACATATGGCTGCCTGGGCAGGTAGTGGGCGCCCAACACCAAGAGGACCCAACTCTCACTCTGGATGTTTCCAGTGAGTGTGACCACACTGAGGCCTCAGACCCCTCAGCCCTGAGGCCCTTCCTCACTGCAGCTCCACAGCAGGGGGTGAGGGTGGGGCTGAGGTAAAATATTAATTTTGTTTCATTTTTTGCCTTTTTGTCCTGCTTTTATTGTTTGCTTGGGTTAACATTTTCTCCCTCTTCCACAGTTCTCTATTTCACATCATCATAACCACAAAAGATAATAGAACTGTTACAGTAAAACAGAAAACTCTTACCTCCAATCCCGGTGGCTAATGTGGTAACAGCACTCTTTTTCTGCCTCCTTTTCCAGTGGGGACCAGGACTATCATCCTGAGCACAGCAGTGAGGAAGGGAGGGAGGGAGGTGGGGGAACCAGCCTGGGTTTATCTGAGATCCTCTCCCTTCCCCACATGAAGGGTTATCCTCTCCTCCCTTCCTGGACTGTAGACAAAGTCTCAGCGCAGGAACTGGTATAACCTGGGCTAATCCTGCCCCTGGGCCAGGCCAGCAGGGCACACACTCCTCCCTCTCAGCCTGTGGTACTCCCTCCAGCTCTGGTCTAGAGAGAAAGTAGCTGCGCCCATGGAGGAAGTGACCGCTGGGAAACAGTGGGGCTGCCAGGCTGGAGCTCCCTGACTCCAAAGGAGATGAGCCTGGAGTGGGCATTAGAGGAGGAGAGAGGGAGCTGTCAGGGGGAGCTGCCCCCACAGCCCAGCAGGGCCCCATCCAGGATCCTTACATCTAACCATGGGAATAGTCCCAACACCGTCCTGTCTCCAGATCCTCTGCTGCCTCAAGTCCTGCTCCAAACCTGCTGCTCCACGAAACTGTACTTATTGGGGTGTTGCCTGACACTCTTCACTCTGGAATTAATTTATGGGACTGGAATTAATTTATGCTTGAGCTTGATGTGCAATTGTCCTCCCATTGCATTATGCTGTGTGCCCTGTCTCTCCCGTCACACACACACACACACTCACTCCCCTCTCCCTGGGAACCAGACCCTCACTCAGCACTGGGGGTTACTCTGACCCTCTGTCTCTGGTCCCCTCAGAGCTGCCCTCTCTGCAGTGTCTCTACTCGGCGGAGTCTGAGCAGCCCCAGGAGTCCCTGCACCTCCTGCCTCTGCCCTTGTGGGAAACCAGCCCCTCAGCCTGAATGACAGTGAGGAGGAAAGGTAAAGTCCTGAGGTCAGTGATGGATGGAGGAGACAAGTTATTTTTTTTCTCTTGGTTTAAAATAGTTGCTTTTTTTTTTTTACTATATTTTTTTGTAGTAACACGTGTTTACACACTGCACATGACTCAAAATCGGAGACTCACATCCTTAGATGCAGGTTCTCTCAACCCCCACCTCCAATGCACCCAGAGTCCTCCACTATATTCCTCTGGACCTTCTTACTCCTTTTTTTTTAAGGATTTATTTATTTATTTATTTAGTATTTATTTATACATGCACTGGGTACAGTCAGAAGTGCGGGAGGGTGAGAGAATTCACCAGAGCCAGAGCGGGGAGCAGAGCAGGCAGAAGGACCGAAGCACACTACTGAGGGGAGCAGCAGGCGATGGGAGAGGTCTGCGCGCTATGTGGGACCTTCCTCTGGTGGCTGGGGAGCAGCCAGGGATCAAACCGGTGCCGCAGTGGTTGCGGGCAGCTTCGCAACCCAGCGCTCAACCACTGGGCCACCGGGGAGGCCCTTCTTACTCCTTTTGTCCCCACCCTCAAGCCCCTCTGGGAGCCTCCATTCTGCAGCCAGACTCCATGGTCTTGGTTAGGTTTTCTCTGTTCCTTTGCTGGTTTCTGTATATTACACATACGAGTCATGTCATCTGGTATTTGTGGCTCTCCTGATTTATGTCACTTAGCACACTTTTACCCATTTCCATCCACGTTGTTGTAAATTCAAGATATCATGGACCTGCCACAAGAGTTCCCATCATCTATTTTATGCACATAGATTGTTTCCATAATTTGGCTATTGTAAATATTGTTGCAATGAACACAAGATTGCACATAGCCCTTGAAATGAGTTTTGCATTTTTTGGATAAACCCCAAGGAATGGATGCTGGGTCCTCTGGCAGATCTATGTTTAATATTTTGAGGAAACACCATACCGTTTTCCATAGGGGCTGGACCATTTCCCACAATGATGTGTGAAGGTTCCTTTCCTCCCCACACCTTGCCAAAACTTGTTGTCTCTGGTCTTGTTAATAGGAGCCCCTCACAGGGGCCCCCTCACAGGGAGGTGGTGCCTCATTGTGGTTCTGATCTGCATACCCTGATGATGTGTGATGGGAGCATTTTCTGTGTGCCTGTGGCCATCTGTATCTTCTTTGGAGAAGTATCCACTTAGCTCCTCTCCCCATTTTTGATAGGGCTGTTTTTGGGTGTTGAGTTATATGTATTATTCACACATCTTGGATGTATGACATGCAAGATGTCTCCCCCCCATTGGGTGTCTTTACATGTAATGACAGTTTCCTTTGCTGGGCAGGAGCTTGCAGTTTGATGTGGCTCCACTGGTCTCTCTTTGCTTCTGTTTCCTTGGAACACAGATGATATCGAGGGCAGTGAGTCTACTGTGTACAACACAATATGGTATCCACATCATTGTACACTTGTCTAAAATCCGCAGCATGGACACCACCAAGGGTGACCCAAATGTGCAGCCATGGGCCATGAGAGATGATGATGAGCAGGTTCATCATGTGACAGACGTGCTGCTCTGGGCTTAGCATGTGATTAGGACATTATCTGTGAAGTGTTATACAGTTGAAGAGACTGCAGTAGGATTTAATTTTAAAAGTATTATTTCATGAGCACAGAAGAAAATTTTATACTCAAGAATTTATGTAGCAAAATAAATCACACCCCATTCCCACCATAACCCTCCAGTGAGCCAGGTCACTTGCTCAGAACTAGTTAGAAATTTATCATTTCTGGGCCTCCCTGGTGGTGTAGCGGGTTGAACACAGAGCTTTGAAGATGTCTGCAGCCTCTGCAGCACAGGTTTGATTCCTGGCTGGCCAGGGAGATACCCACATGGCGTGGTAGACCTCTCCTGTCTCGCCCGCTGCTCCCTGCAGCGGCGTACTTCATTAGTCTGCCTGTTCTGCTCCCCACTCTGGCTCTGGTGAATTCTCTCACCCTCCCGCACTTCTGACTGTACCCAGTGCATGTATAAATAAATAAATAAATCTTTAAAAAAAAACAAAAGAATAGACACAAATCAAAACAAACAAACAAAAAAAGCCAAAGTAGCAAATAGGAATCCATAGAAAGGCTAGACCCTGAGCTAAGCCTGGGCTGACCCAGCCCCATAAGCACTCCTGGCCCAGACATGACAGCACAAGGCCAGGTGGGGCCTGAGTCCCTGCGATCACAGGCCCTGCTGGGACAAGTGCTACTTAAGAACAAGGACAAAGGAGCAGAGACACAACCTCTGATGAGTGACCAGTCAAAGCCCATGACACACTGAGCCCCGATTGGACACAGGCCCCGTCCCCCTCGGCTCCTTACAGCATCTCCTGCCCCCACCTGCACAGACTCAGCACAGCAAATACGTGATTCTGGAATGTTTCCCATTTATTTCATCTCAAATTTTAGGAATCATTTTTATTATCCCCCCAATCGATCAGGCAAGCTTCCAAAAACTAATTTCAGAACTCAATTATTATTTCCAGAAGGAAGTAGTTACTATTCTTGAGCAAAACACAAAGACGGGGTAGACACAGACTAAGCTACTTCACGGAGAGACACAGGTCAGTGTGGGGAGGGCCCTGGTGGGCAGGGCTGGGCCAGTCTCCCCACCTTCTCACATTATCTCATAAGAACAGAGACACATTCAGATGCCTTTTGCAGCAAACGAAACCAGAAGATCTTAGAGTCACAAAGTACGGGTGAGAAGAAATCCTTCATCACTCAGCCCCCACCAGGCAGCTGGCTCACACTGTGAAGGAAAAGGATCACAAGAAACATGTAAGTGTCGACATTCTCCATAGTCCACTGCATCCTCAGAATGTCCCCCTCACAGCTTCCCCATAACCTGGTCCCATCCTCTCTGCTCCAGTGTTGGGAGACTGCTCCTCTAAAGAGAGCTGGGGTTTTTTGGAGAGCACCTGTTTACTCTGCATAGGGAGTACCAGAACATTGGAGGTGCTGCAAAGAGAACTTCCCAGAACTGACTCCTGTTCTCTGAGGACATGCTACCATGTGTGCATGTTCCCCACTAACCAGGAAAGCTTGTTCCAGCAATAACTTATTCATCTGTATAAGCACAAATACAATTGCATGCTATATTCTTGTTCCTTTGTTTATATCTTCAATAAAAGCTTGGGCTGGGCAAGTGAAAGGCAGAGCTGCTCTCAATGGCTCTCCCCAGGCTCCCCTGCTGCAAATTCACTTAGACTCCAAGTCTTCATTAATGGCAGAGAACTTCATCAGCTGTCCTGTCTGCAGAACCCCAGCCCCTCCCACTGCAGGTCTCCAGGGTCTCACCTTTAGGGGCTGAGAGACACATCAGAACTCTGGGCGCTGTCGCCGCCTGGGGGAGAACAAAACAGAACCTGGTCAGAGTCACAGAGATGAGACCACAGATGGGACTGATGGGTGACCCCCCACCCCATGGGCTCCATCTACACTGTCCCCAGGGGCTCAGGAATCAAACCCCTGATCCACACTTACCTGCAGCCTGAGAGTAGCTTCCTCCTTGTCCTCCTGTGGAAGAAGCATCACGTGAGACCAGGGAGGAGTCAGGCTATGACGTCAAAAGGAATCTCCAAGTCTGGACCACAGGGAATTTTCCAGAACTGTGACTGGACACTTAGGGCAAGACCAGAAAATATGAAGAAAGGAGATGAGAGGGAACTGGACTGCCTGCTGGGGTCTGCCCTCAGCAGGGAACTTCCCCTCTGCCATTTGCTGGAATCAGGTCCCTAGTACCAGAATTATCAAGGTGAACAATGTGATTCATTTTCAAAAATGCTTTACAAAAGAGAGTTAGCAATCAGTTCCAGACTGGGCAACTCAAATGTGTGGATGGTACTTCCCATTACAAGGTAAGGCAAGTCCTACCTGTGGTCTGAAAGCCTCCCAGCAGACAAGATCCATCCCCCCCACCACTCCCCTACCTGAGTGTTTTGCTCTAGGCTGCACTACCCATGCTGTCTCTTGACAAGGCCTGGGCATTGGGGGAGACTCCTGAAAGAGGGGAGTTTCTGCACTTTCCAGAAGATCTGAATAAGGGAGTTTCCAGAGCAATGCCTACTAATACTCTTCTGTTTGTTCTTGGTTAATGCAAAATTAAGTTAGTTATAAATTGGCTTGTGAAAACCTAATTCGTACCAAAGCGTTAATTGGCCTGTTGTTCTTACGCTTGAATTATTACAAAAGAAAGTAAAAATTGCTAAAGGTATAGTTAGGAAAGAAATGTTTTGGCCCTGAGAACTATGGAGAACAAGCTGCCCTATACCAGCTGTGCTTGGAAACCATAGCTTAACCCCGGGGGTAGGTGTTTGCAGCAGCAGCAGTACATTTCCTGCTGTATGCAAAGGTCAATAGTTTGCAGGTTGTGTGGAGGTTAGACATTTCTAGTTAAGAGTTAGACTTCTGTAGAATTAAAATAGATTTGATGAGCTACTTTAGGCCACTTTGAATTAATTGATAAATTAGCTAGATTATTTGTGTGCTAGGGAGATAGGTTGATTTAAGTAACAGAATATAGGATAGGACTTCCACGCCCACTCCGGTATAAGGAAGCTTGAAAGGATGATTAATTGTTACCGAATATTGTGCTGTCTTAGGTAATTGATCATGCTGGGAAAATGAGTTGCACCAAGAAAACTAATTGTCCTGATGATTTTCTTAAGGTGATCTAAGAAGTGCCCTTTTTGGTATGAGACCAAGAGGGTCTCCATATGCCCATGAAAAAATATGTAATGATTGTCTTTCTTTTGCTTCATTGCTTATGTTGATGTAATCTCACTGTCTGCTGTGCTGTATAAAGGCCTGCTGAGACCCTCAGCAGGAGATACTTGCACCTCATCAAATGTCAGGGTCTCCTCACTACCTCATCTACTTCATTTCCTCCCTCCCCTCAGCTCTCCATTTCGAGGCCATCTCATCTTTTCAGGAACCCCTGACACCACATTTTGCTGGAGCTGGCTTTCGGCAGTGTTTCTTCCTCCACATCACAGCTGCAGCCACCGCAGCTCCAGTGAGCACAGCTCCAAGAAGAACCAGGTCAGTAATGATGTCCACGGTGGGGTCGGTGGAGTCAGTAGGGGCGGTGGGTTGAGGAGGGGGCACTGGAAGGGACTGGAAGGGGAGACCCTGAGCCCCAGGCCTTATCCTGACCTTCTGAAGGTCTCCAGAAGGGCTCCTGATGCCCCTGAGAAGCTCTGTGCCCATGTTCCCTCCTTACCTCAAGTCAGGACTCGACTTGGGGCTCCAGCAGCCCCTCATGCTGCACATGGCATGTGTATCTCTGCTCCTCTCCAGAATGTACCTCCACAGCCACCCAATTTTGGAAGTTTCTGTTCCCCCCAGGCCTGGTCTCCACCAGCTCTGTGTCCTGGGTCAGGTCCTCCCCATCTTGCTGCCAGGTCAGGGTGATGTTTGCAGGGTAGAAGCCCAGGGTCCAGCACCTCAGGGTGACCTCATGCTCAGAGGTGGGGTGGTGGGTCACATGTGTCTTTGGGGGATCTGAGGAGAAGGCTGAGAATTTTCACACTTTGTGTTTTTGTGTCATACCCCTAAAAAACCCTCCTGTGACCATCCTCAGAATGGACAGGGCAGTGGGTTTGGAAAGAGGAAGTACAAAATCTAGAAACCAGCCTGGTCTGGGGAGTCTGGGATAATACCTATTCCTTAGAAAGTTCTAGAATTGGGGAGACAACTTTGTGTAGGAGGACGCGGTTCTCTAATGAGGAGAGCACAGGCTTTTGCTCCTGACCTGGGGACTCAGAAAAGCAGAGTTAGATCAGAAAAATGTCCTCTGACCAGTAAAAAGACACTGAGGGAGAAACTGATGGTTCCCAAGAGGGCTGCCGGGTCAAAAGGATTGGGTGAAGGGTGATGCGAGGGCTGGTCTCCTCTCAGGCTCAGGAGAGACTGGATTCCTTAACTGTTCTGAGGAGAAATGAGGTCCTCTGGGCAATCAGGAAACCCAGGGGCCTCCTCCTCCCCTGACCAGAGAGGGGGCGCTGCTGTGACCCTGACTCCACCCTCCCCGCGGTGCCGGCCTGAGGGGGGTTGGAGACCTCGAGGCCCCTCTTACCTGAGCGCTGCAGCGTCTCCTTCCCGATCTCCAGGTCTCTGCGCAGCACCTGCCCTCCAGGTAGTTCCTCTCCTGCTCCGCGTCTCAGGCCGCCTCTCACTCGCGCCTGAAGATCTGCGAGGCCGTGTCTGCCGCGGTCCAGGAGCGCAGGTCCCCCGTTCAGGGCCAGGTACTCCGCGCCTTCGTAGGCGAACCGACTGTACCCGCGGAGGAGGCACCCGTCGGGCCCCACGTCGCAGCCACACTTCCCCTGGAGCGTGTGAGAGCCTGTCCCCAGCCCGGGGTCACCCCGCCAGCCCGTCCTCCAGCCGGGAATAAACCTAAACTGAAATGGAAATCTCACGGGGCAACGTCCCGCGGGCTCGTCCTGGGTCGAGGGGTGACACTTGGATCCGCGGTCTGGGGTTCCCCGCCTGTCCGCGGGGATGGGGTGGTGAGCGGCCGGGCCTTGCTCTGGTTGTAGTAGCTGCGCAGGGCGCGCAGGTTCCCTGGGAACATCTGTGCATTGGACTTCGCGTTCCTAGTCTCCAGCTCTAATGAAAATAATCAGTGTCATGAGTGGATCTTTCAGAGCTTCTATTTTTGCAATTATTTTTCCTCTCTGTCTCACTAGAGGAATGTTGGATTGTCATATTCTCTCCTGCATTTACTCTTTGTTTTGGTGGGCCAATGAAAAAAGATAGTCTATCTGAAATATGTGAAAAGAGCATTTTAAGTAACTTTCAGATAATTGTGACTATTCAATTTTGTTCCACTTCTACAATAAATTGAAACTATACAAGTGGTGGCTTTTAAATGTTATTTGCAAAGTGAGTGGTAGAACAGTATCACTGAATGTTTTCTGTTCTCTTACATTAATTCCATAGGCCTCTACTGATTATTAATCTTGAATTAATACATGATTTTAAAAAGCTAAGCATTTTTTAATCAGGTTATATGATCTTTATGTTAACTATTCAAGAATCAAATTTTGAAAATCATACATGTTTTCTGTTCCAAAGATCCTCAAAGAAAAGTAAGAGGAAGTTGTCAAGTTTACAGCAATGAGACACAATTTTCACTACCTGGTTTTCACTTGGAGCTTGTCCTTTATCAAGGCAGTTAATTACTATCATTTATCAACTGTCAGTTTTTCTTTTTTTTTTTAATTTTTTTTAAGGTTTATTTATTTATGCAAGAATCAGGGTACAGGCCAGTTGTGCAGGAGGGTGAGAGGATTCCCCAGAGACAGAGCAGGGAACAGAACAGGCAGACTGACTGAAATACACTGCTGAGGGGAGCAGCAAACAAGACAGGAGAGGTCTGCTTCACCCTGTGGAATTCTTGCTGGCCAGGTGGGATTGACCTGCACTACAGAGGCTTTAGACAGCTTCACAGTGAGGTGCTTAACCAACTGCACCACCAGGGAAGCCCTCAGTTGGTTTTCTTAAAGGGACAGCTCACATTCATTGTCTAGAAAGTATGTACAGGTTAATCAAATCTAAAGAATGATAGTTTTTGTCATTCATGTTTTCTGGTAAAGATGGTAGTGCCCTCCTCCCACACCTCTAATTCACCTCACACAAATTAGTTTCCTTGGGACATAGCACTTTGGATTGTGGCAGAAGTGACTTATATGTGCTCTATGTCATCAGAAACTGGGTTTACTTTGTGTCCAGATTCTTTCTGTCATGCTTGAGGAGATGCTCCCTGCTTTCCTGAGCCTCCCTGGCCAGGACCCCACAGCTCTTCATACTGGACAGAGTGGACTCTGTCCACATCCATACTCCCTCCCTCCTGCTCCCTCCTGTGCAGCCCTTCTCCTCTGGGCTCAGGTGCTGGCCCTGCCTGGGGAAGGTTGACAATGATGAGTCATCTCCACACTTGAGGCCTCATTTCAGTGCTTTTCTGTTTCTCATTGTGAGCAACAGCTAACAGTGTTTTTTACTCCCTCCTGGTCTGAAAATGCTTTGTTTGCAACATTTTATATTTTTTATAGTGAACACAGACTATATCCTAAGGACTTTACTATATCTATGTATGTATATGCACACATGTATCATAGGCAGACTATACCAGGTCTTCCTAAATTTTGAAAGAGACGATGGTTGTTGGTCATCAGGTTCAGCGCAGAGCTGAGAGCTGGGCTTCTTGTCTGCTCTGGGCAGGGCCCTCACACTCCCTCCTCCCATCCTCAGGATGCTGTTCTCTGTGAGGCCCATGAAGACTCTCACCCTTCTCTTCTGGGTGTTTATTACTATGTTGTAAGTTCTAACGCTTTTAAGAAAATAATTTTGTATCTCACACATATCTCACATTTTTAGCTCTTTCAGTGGGAAGGGGTGTCCATCCATCAAGCCCACCTTGGTCAGGTAGAAATTCTAAGGCAGAATCATTCAGTGACAAGATGGCGTGTCCTGGAGTAGAGGGTCAGAGCCTGAGAACACGTGACTGAGGGGGATCTGCCAAGTGTTTGATAGTGTCAGGGTTTGTTGTACAATTTATTTTTAATAATAAATGATTTTGATAATTACTAATATTTGTTATTATTTATGCACACACAGAG